AAAGTAAATCAGAGACATATTTATAGTAATTATGCAGGCAAATTTGCCTGCAAATCTCTACCAATTAAGGGATAAATATCTGTAAACATAAATGCATGTTAGTTTAACGCAACTATGTAATTTTTATCGTTGGCATTAAATCGTGTCAGTACCGATCTGTACTGAAATAAATCACATGGACACGTATTGATACCGGTATATTTGTACTGGAAAAAATAAAGTATTTATTATCACATATCTTAACAGACCCATGGGACTACCTTTTATTCAAAGCTTATCTACATCTCAGAATTTTTTTATTACTTCTGGAGAGATGCTATATTAATACAGTAATATTGTAAGTACAGAAGTGATATAAGGTTTTGTGACACTCTCCTGCAAAATCATTTCCCATGGTTGATTTTTTTATTAATAGCGAATATTACGAATAATGCGAATAATGTCTAGACCTTTTCTTACTCTATACAATCTTGCGATAAGAATAAGGCTTAAAAAGGTGATAAGAGTAATAGTATAACGTTCCTTATCAGTAGTTTTATGGGTCATGGACCCCAGGCTTTGCCTGCCCAAATTCATATATCATGCGGGGCTTGGAATCCCCAGATCTTGAAGATCGTTAACTTTTTCACTTCGCAGAAGTGATCGTCAAATCTAAGGGGATTTAATTTACCTATAAAACAACAAAAATAGATTCAGTATTTGGAGCTTATAACCGAACGGAGTTGCTTTGTTAAGTGTGGTCCGGCATTGTGTTAGGGTAACGTAATTACTAATTGTGTAGTTTTTTTTCTAGCAGATCTAGCGAATTAGGTATTATAAAATAAGCGATTTTTCGACTTGTGGGTAAATAATAACAGTATTTTTTTTTTTCTCATATATATTTTTTCGAAAAATGTCTGTAATAGATGGATATGTTTCAGTTAAATATGGTAAATTCTTTTATTGGTTTTGTTAATTAGTTCATATTAATTAATATAATTTTTTATAGATAATCCAGGGCCTCGGCCAAATGAAATAAAAATATTTCATCATGATGAGGAAGGGAAATCTTATGAACCGCTAGAATTAGTAGAACTCAACAAACCAAAAACATTGTAAATTACAGAGTTTTCTAATTGTTTCAGTTTTTATATTTTTGTATTACATGTTTTATATATCTCATTTTTTTTCATTTTCTCCATTCCGTATAATTATAGTAAAATTTATAAACAAAGGGGACAATATTTTAAGATTGGTAATGATGAAACATATCTGGAAGAAATTAGGAATAATCAAGGTAAGGTTGCTAGCTGTAAGTAATAATTACAACTATTACAGATTACAACCTGAGTTGCAATCCTTGATTATAACTAAAACTCAAAGTTGTAAAATATTGAAATAGTTGTAATAGCCATAAAAGGTGTAATTGCTATAAAGAGTGTAATTGTCATAAAGGGTATAATTGCTGTAAAGGATGTAATTGCCGTAATAGCAATATGTTGTATCATAACAATAATACAGTTTTAGATTTGTAATAATCCGGTAGTATAGTCTAAACTGCATGATAATTAATGAAGTCAATTTCTTTATATAGAAAACAATAATGCTAAGAAACAAGAATAAGTTGTTCAAAGAATAGCTTAAATTCGATTGGTGTTTTTATTTCTATAATGATATAAAAAATTGGTCTTTTTTATCTATACTGGTCAAATGCAATCAGAGATCGCACAATTAGTAATTATCATTACCAGTTTGTTTAGCATGATCTGACATCAGGAATTTTGAAACCTGATTGTAATCGATTAAAATCTGATGATTTTAATTGATTACTATCACCCGATTTTACTTAGTAACACAACTCAAAAAAAGGATAAGTGCGTAATGATAGAAGTTTAGGGTTAGGGTGTTAGTAGAAGTGACTATGGAAATGGAATAGCACTTATTATATGCAAAATTTCGTTCCTGTCATTTTTAATTAGTGAACCAAGGTCAGTTTAGATTATTGATTATGATATAATTAATCAATTATAATAGATTTTGATTTATGATAAATCATACTACTGATAGCTTAGTCAATCAATCATAATCGATTAAATAATTGCAACTGATTATAATCAGGTTTCAAATTTTCTTGATATATTTATTTGGATAATCGCATTTCTTAGTTATAAAAAAAAAAAAAAAGAAGGCTTGACTCTTTAAAAGATTTATTGTATAAATTCAGTTGATATTTTTATTTTATACACAACATACCGGTCAAATACAAGTGCAATATCATTCACGTGGACTTACCGGTTTGAAATATTTAGTATTTATTTGGTAATTGTTTTCCTTAAAGTGTTACAAAAACAAAATTCTTAAAAAAATAAGGTTTTTTTGTTACATTGAAAAAAAAATTTATTTTGGCTATTAGGATTTTGCACGTTATAATTAATACATGCATAATTAATTGTAATAAGTTTTTAGCAAATCTGCTAAATATTTGTGTTAGAAAATCTTCTAACAGACTCTCAAGCATTCTTAAAGATATGGATGTATAAACAATTTGGAGGGTATGTCAATTCTGCTAAAGTTAATAACTTATCAAATCTGCCAAATAATTATTCAGCTAATTTCTATCAGGTGTCCCAGCAA